AACTGCGCCGGGCTGAGGAGCACCTTCAAAACTGAGCGCTGGGCAGCGGCAGCCCGCGGCTGTCTCCGCGGCTCAGGACAAGTCCCTGCAGGATGGCTGAGAAGCCCCACCTCTCAGCCCTGCCTCCCTCAGCCTCATCCCTCAGGTGTCTGCCTCGTGCCTCTCTCAGTCGCTCTCTTGCTCCTCCACCAGCCCAGGAAGAAACTGCTTCAAAGAAGCCAGCAGGGTGGCTTTTCCTGTCAGCGCAGCTCCTCCAAAGCGCCCGTTCACCCCCACCCCGCCGCCTGTGGTTCAATCCAGTGCTCCGTTCTGCCTGCCTGCCTGCCTTCGTTTCTGGTTGTTTCGGAGCAGCTTTGGCTGAGTAAAAGAGGCGAATAATTATTATTCTCAGCCAAAGCTACTCCAAAATAACCAGAAACGAAGGCAGGCAGGCAGGCAGACTGGAGCACTGGATTGAACCGCGGGCGGTGGGGTGGGGGTGAACGGGCGCTTCAGGGGAGCTGCGCCAACAGGAAAAGCCACCCTGCTGGCTTCTTTGAAGCAGTTTCTTCCTGGGCTGGTGGAGGAGCGAGAGAGTGACTGAGAGAGGAACGAGGCAGGAGGAAACAGAAGCCGCTGAGCTGGAGAGCAGGACAGGCTTTGGTTGCTTCCTCCCTCCCCTTCTTTCATTTGTGCCCTTGATCCCTGATCCCAGCAGCATTCACCGAAGGGGAAGAAAGCCGCCATTTTTATTTTATTTTTATTTTCTTTGCGGCCCAGTACCAAATGATCCATGGACCGGGACCGGTCCGCGGCCCAGTGATTGGGGACCCCTGCCCTATAAAACCTGATGAGTCCGTGCGTATCTGTGATGACTATAAGGCCACCCTGAATCATGCATTGCAACAGAGCGCATACCCTGTACCGGTAGTCCAACACCTGTTGCATTCATTGGGGAAAGGCAGGATTTTTGCAAAGCTCGACCTTGCACAGGCGTATCAACAATTACCCGTTGATCCTGAGACAGCAGAGGTGCAAACCATCGTAACGCATAGAGGAGCTTTTAAATGTAATAGATTACAATTCAGGGTAAGCGTGGCCCCTGGCGTTTTCCAGAGCCTAATGGAACGCCTCCTACAAGGACTAAAAGGGGTGATACCCTACTTTGATGATGTATTAATTTCAGCCGAAAACAAAAAACAGCTAAAAGACCGATTGAGGGCAATTTTGACAAAATTTAGAGAAGCAGGACTCAAAGTTAAAAAAGAAAAATGCCAACTTGCCACAAACCAGGTCAAGTTCCTGGGATACCTTATTGATGAAGCAGGAATCCACCCCACAAAAAAAAAAAAAATACGAGCAATAAAGAAAGCTCCCAGACCCCAAAACAAAACGGAGTTACAAGCATTTTGGGGACTCATCAATTTTTATCATGTCTTTCTGCCACAGAAGGCAACAGTAACGGAACCACTGTATAAACTCCTTGATAAAAAAGCCAACTGGAAATGGGGCCACCAAGAGGAAACAGCATTCCAAAAAATCAAGGACTTAATCACATCAAAATCCGTATTGATCCAATACAGTGACACACTACCTCTAACTGTCACCTGCAACGCTTCACCTTTTGGCATAGGCGCAATACTCAGCCACACATTACCAGATGGCAGAGAAGCACCGATCGCCTTTTATTCCAAGACGCTATCCAAGACCGAAAGAAACTACAGCCAACTGGACAGGGAAGCCTTGGCAGCCATCTCGGGGGGGGGGAAAGTTTCCACGAATACCTATACGGTAGGACATTTTCTTTAATTACCGATCACAAACTGCTATTAGGAATCCTAGCCAGAGACAGGGCCACCTCCAACATCCTCTCCCCAAGGATGACTAGATGGTCAGAATTTCTGGAAGCTTACAATTACAAAGTCATTTATCGCCCAGGGAAAGCCATATCCCACGCAGACGTGTTAAGCCGCACACCACTTCCAGGGCACGATGACGATCCAGCTCCCACTACACAGACCCTACAAATTGAGACCATCCCAAATTGGCCCATCTCCGCATCGGACATTGCAAGGGAAACGGCGAAAGATGCACTGATGGCCCGAATATTGAACTGGGTGGGACAGGGCTGGCCGAAAAACATAAAAAAACGAGACTTTTAAACCTTTTAAAAACCGGCAAATTGAATTATCAATTGAAAAAGGGTGCATTTTGTGGGGAGACCAGGTGGTTGTTCCTAAAAAATTACAAGAAGACGTGCTAAACATGTTACACAAAGGACACCCTGGCATGGTAAAGATGAAGTCCCTGGCCAGAAGCTACGTTTGGTGGCCAGGATTAGATAAAGACATTGAAACCTGGGTTAAAACATGTAACAAATGCCAATCATCCAGACCCCCCCCCTCCAGCACCAGTCCTTGACTGGGAGACAGGCCCCTGGTCAAGAATCCATATGGACTTCGCCGGCCTCACAAAAGGTTATACTTACCTAATCATCGTGGATGCATATTCCAACTGGTTGGAAGTCATTATGAATTCAACAATGACAGAAGCCGTCACTAAACAACTTAAAAAACTTTTCACCACCCACGGTCTACCAGATGTAGTAGTATCGGACAATGGGCTGCAGTTTACAGCCTTGGCTTTTGAACAATTCCTAGCGGAACATGGAATACGACATGCTTTGACAGTGCCAGCTCATCCGGCGGCAAACGGAAGAGCGGAACTCATGGTTCATTACACGAAGGAAGCATTGGAAAAGCTTGACGGAAACGATATGCAAGAAAAAATCAACACCATGCTCACTATCCAACACATAACACCATGCACGGCCACAAACAAGAGCCCGGCTGAATTACTGATGGGAAGAAAGTTGCGTTCCTACATGGGCAGACTGCACCCCACTTACAACCCCAAAAAGCCACCAGACTCTTCCAGTAAGTACCGCTCTTTCCTACCAGGCGACTTAGTATATGCAAAAAGCCTTACCGGAGAACCATTGTGGTTACTGGCAACAATCACACAAATCACGGGCCCTCATTCCTACTGGCTAGAAACAGCTGACAGCAGATCGTGGAAATGACACATCGACTAGCTACGGTCACGACACATCGAAAGAGACACTGATGTTCCCCGGAGCACGAAACAAACATTTTCTCAAGCACCCCCTGATAATAATAAAAAATCCAGAGGGAGGGGGAAATCATCCGGTTACAAAGTATCAACCAGAAACAGAGAAACCAGAAAAAATTAAAACTCACTTACCATTAGAAGACTTCAAGGAAAAAGAACTTCAGAGAAGAAGCAGGCCAGCCGACGCTACCTGCCTGCACACAATACGAGGAGACCACTCCGCCCGTCCAACAAACCTAGGGCAGAGCGAAAGCCCAGTCAACCCAACAAGGCATGGTGAGAGCGGCATGGCTGAGGCGCCCTTTTAGGAGGTTCCTTGGAGAAGACTGGGAAGGACAGCAGGCCTGTCCGAACCGGTGGAGATCAACTGAACTGCGCAGGTCAATTAGGACTCACAAGAGCCCCGCCTACCTGCGCGACTACGTCACATAACGTTGGGCCAAACCAAGAGGGGACGGGTGTAGTGTATTGAAATAAAGACTTCTAGAACTACATACCTATTGGTTAATAAATGCAATGAAACGATTGGTTAATAACGACAGTTACTGATTGGCTGCCTAAAGCAGCGGGAAGTTTAAATAAATGCCATTGGTTGCGAGCCGCAAGCAGCCGCTATAAAAAGGGCTGCTGCGGCTCAACTTTAGTTGAAGTTACTGGTTTACTAATAAAGAGTCGAATTCAACTCCGGTCTTCGAGTCTCTTTTATCTGGTGATAGAACATCGGTCATTTTTAAAATCTCTGGGCTTTAATTCCCAGAATTCTCTAGTCAGCATGAGAAACATGCAATTAATGCCAGATTGCTGTTTATACCTAAAGGCCAAAAAACAACAACCAATCCCAGGCCTCCCCTCTCTGAAATTAAGAACAGGCAGTCCTCGACAACAGTTCAGTTAGTAACCATTCAAAGTTACATGAGTGAAAAAAGTGACATTTTTCACACTTTGACCATTGCAGCGTCCCCATGGTCATGTGATCAAATCACACCATTGGAAATGGACTCATATTTATGACTGTTGCAGCGTCCTGGGGTCATGGGATCCCCTTTTGCAATCTTCTGACAAGCAAAGTCAATGGGGAAGCTACATTCACTTAAGAACTGTGTTACTCACTTAACAACTGCAGTGATTCACTTAACAACTCTAGCAAGAAAGGTCATAAAATGGGGCAAAACTCACTTAAAAAATGTCTCGCTGTATTATCAAACTCGCTGATAAAATTCAGGTTCCTGCTCAAACAAAACCTAGTACAAGTGATAGAGAAAACCTGAAACTTGGCAGTTCTTTTGGATGGATTTATCTGGGTCCACACAGGTTAAAATATAGATTAGGCTGCCTAAGGTCCTCTAATCAGATTATTGTGGAAAACACAAAGGTTTGCTGTGATCTAATCAACAAATTGACAAAACTGGCAGTTTCCATGGAGAAGTGGAGTCAAGAACAGATGTTCTTAATGACGCATATATTTATATCAATTTCACTCAGAAAGAAACTTCTACAGAATTCATTAGTATTCCCCCTCGAGTATCTTATTTCTATTCCTTTATTAAAAGCATACAACTCATTAGGAGGCGGGCGTGTACAATATTATATTCTTTTGGAGTTTTTTAAACATAGGTGTGGAAGGCGCAGGAAATAAACGTAAAGAAACCATCCTAGGACCCTGCCCCCCTCCCCCAACTGAACAACTTTATTTCCCTAATAAATGGAAAACCCTTAACAATTACCCAGAAAAAAAAATCCGGGGGCGGAGAAAGCCGTCCGGAAACTACAAAGCTGCGAATGGAACTTTGGAGTCTATTAATTATTCATGTTTCAGCCACACCTCCCTGCTTTTACTCGCAACCAATGAAAAACGAGAGAAGCCAACGAAGGTGGGGGCGCCCTGGGAGGAGGGAGGGATGGATGAAGTTTGGAACTAGCTCATCAGAAGACAAAAAGAAAAAAAAGACGATTTTCGCTGTGATAGTACAAGTAGTAGCAGAAGCGGGAGGCGAAAGCTGTTTGCCCGATAAGGTAAGTTCAAATGAGCGAGAGGGTTGTAGGAAAGCTGTTACGATCTAGGTTAGGTGAGAAGGGCATGGGAGGATTGTTGGATATCTTGTATAGGAAATGTTGATTCTCCCCCTCCCCCCCCGGTATGTCTCTATTGATTACAAAGGAGTGAATCACCTTATGAGGAACGCATATCCATGGTCTGGATGGATATGCAATGTATATATGTGTGTGAGTTTAGTAGGCCAGGGCTGAAAGAGGGGCCTGTGGGTGTTGAGCTTAAGGATGGAGAGTTAGTGAAATCTTTGAGAACAGGACATAGATTCATGGTGGTTTAATGCTAGCTAAGTAAAAAAAAAACTGCCTTTCCCAGCTTGAGATCTGTCAGTGGGTTGGACCACATGTTTGGGCATCATGGAGGGGAAGTATTTGTAGAGGGTTGAATGAAGCTGGAGGTAAGTGGTGGGTAGATGAATGCCCTTGTTGAGTGGTTTAAAGGTGCTTGTGTGAATTGTTTCTAGAGTAAGTAAGATGGGAATAGGAAAGAAAGCGCTCCACTGATTGAGAATATGAGACCACACAAAATTGGAAAAAAGGCATCTTAGCTGTGTTAGTGTACTTGTGCATTTGGACAGCCCAGAGAAAAATGTCCTTGAATATTACCTAGTAAGATGGCTTTCAAGAAAGTGAAAAATGGTGTGTGAAAGTCCAAATGTTGCTTCTAAACATGCATGTAGGACAGCAAGCTTGCTATCACAATCTCTGGTGCTACTTAATATAATTACGTGGAGTTATGTAAGTGCCGCCAACTGCGGACCCACCATGTGCATAATGAATAGCACTGTCTGAAATATTTTATGTGAATTAGGGTGTGAACAATTGGGGCAAAAGACACCTCATGTTTTCAAAGAGATAGGTCCGTGAATCTAAATATGGGTTGTCTTCAGTTTTACATTAGAAAATGAAGGGTATAAGTACTGTACAGAAATAATTGTGGTGAACACATGCAAAGAAGTAAGCAGGGATCTGCAGCAGAACTGAATATTATATATCGATTCCGTATCTTTTGGGAAAAAGATATCTTGTGCGGAAAAAGGGAAATAACAATTTAATAGTGTAATTGGATATTTTAAGGTGGGAGTAGAATGTGCAACTTGCATGAGAATAAATATATGAAGTCTGTTAGTTAGCTCATCCGATAGAGAGTTAGATGTATATCAGCAAGGAAGCTAAAATGGCACCACATCAGTTTGTGTGAAGGAGGGGGGTAGAATCACTTACATCAGTACCCCAGGAAGTGAGTCTATCTTTCGGATAATATGTGACACACTAACTCTGAAACATAGCGCTTCCTCTTCTGCTTTGTTCTGAAATATCTTATGAAACATTTTCAGTGATAGGGAAAATATATGAGGAAATTACAATGAAAGTTCCCCTAGTTTTCTAAAGTACATATCTTGTCTACATGTGGTTTTTATCTATCTGTTTTCTAAAGCTTAAATTCTGGATATGAAAGTAATAGTATTCTCCTGATCTTAGTTTGGCAACTCCCGTCCAATTTTTCATACCTCCCCATCTCACACATATTGTGGACTCTCAATAGGCTCAATTCTCATTGGTTTGGTTTGTATTTATTTCTCCCAATTAAAAATAAAATAAAATATACTCTCTTTCTTTTTTGGTTTGGTATTTAAATAGACCCTGGAATTCTGCAAACCGTATTATGTTTTTCTTTCCTTATGCTTATGCACACCCATGTGCAAACATATTTTGTTGTTATTGTATAGAATCCTGTTGATGAACATGGGAAGTTCTGTACAGTATAATTACAAGAATATTTCTAGGCTAGCTTTCATCACTCTGATACCATGCTAATATGTTGGAAGGGAAAAACTGGAGAAGAAAGTAAAAGAAATCTTCAGCCTTGAAGAAAAAGTGGATTAAGCTTTGTTAATAAATTAATACAAGTAGTCTTCCACTTACAACAGTTGCTTTCAACAGTTCAAAGTTACGACATTGAAAAATGTGACATGACCATTTTTCACACTGTTGTAGCATCCCCATGGTCCCGTGATCAAATTCAAATGCTTGGCAATTGATTCATATTTATGATGGTTGCAATATTCCGGGGTCATATGATCCCCTTTTGCAAATCTTTTGACAAGCAAAAGCAATGGGGAAGCCAGATTCACTTAATAACCTAATTTAACAACAGCAGTGATTCACTTAACAAATGTGATAAAAAATGTCGTAAAATGGGGCAAAACTCACTTAACCAATTTTTCACTTAGCAACAGAAGTTTTGGGTTCAGTTGTGGTATATAAGTCTAAGTGCTATTGCTAATTGTAGTCATAAGTCGAGGACTCCCTGTAAAATGGAAAATTATGAGAGTTGAAGTTCAACCGGCCTGGAAGATATCAGGTTGAGGAATGCTGTGACATCTCTAAATATAATTTAATATCTGTGAAATTACTTTATTCAGATGTTGAGCAATGCCTCGTGTTTCAGTTCTGATAAATTTTCAGGGGCATCCTCAGGATGTGTATGTTTTTGTATCAAAAAGTCAAGATAATAATAGTCTTTCTACTTTTTTATATCTATCACGTGCATAATATATGTATATATACACACACATACACTGTATTGATCAACTCTATATATGATCCTGGCCATTTAGCACTCCTTCTATACTGGGGTGATCAGAAAAAGGAAAACAACACATGCTCTTCAGTAGCCACTTGATATACCTCAGTATTTCTTAAATCTAGCAATATTAAGACGTTGCCTGGTTGGGGAATTTTGGGAGTTAAAGTCCAGACAGCTTAAAGTTGCCAAATTTGAACAACATTCATGTACAGCCACGTTCTGTCATTGTTGCACCTTAAGCTGTTTTCAAAGATAAAGTTGCAATGTCTTCTTTAAAAAACTTCAAAATTTAACTTAAAGGTGGGGCCAGTTAATCATTTGGAAACAGCTGGCAACTGTTGTTATTAACAACAAACTGTATCTTCCTTGTCAGTGAATAATGTTTTCTTACCTTTTTCAAATAATTTCTGGAATCTTGGAATAGTTTCTAGTTTTCTGGAACCAAGTGGGCCATTGGTGTGACTTCAATCTGCAAATTTTGAGGTACAGGTAGTCCTCAACTTACAACAGTTCATTTAGTGACCGTTCAAAGTTACAATGGCATGGAAAAAAGTGACATGTTTTTCACATTTATGACTCTTGCAGCATCCTCATGGTCACGTGATAAAAATTCAGATGTTTGGCAACTGACTCCTATATAATGACGGTTGCAATGTTCTGAGGTTGTGTGATCATCTCTTGTGACCTACTGATAAGTAAACTCAATGGGAAAGCCAAATTCACTTGACAACCGTTTTACCATCTTAACAAATTGCAATGATTCACTTAACAATTGTGACAAGAAAGATTGTAAAATAGAGCAAAATTCATTTAATAACTGTGTCACCTACTGTATCAACATAAATTTGGGGCTCAATTGTGGTTGTAAGTTGAGGACTATATGTAAAGGCCTAGGCTCTCCATTTTAAAATCTTTCCCTTTTTAAAAAAATAAGTCCCTCAGATGTTCTGGATATCACCTATATTGATGTAGATGGGGCCTGGAAGGGGAATGGCTAAAGTAGAATAAAACACAGTGGTTTTTTTTCCTTCCAACAGGAAGAAGATAATGTCTCACAAAGGATGTCTCAGTGTTACAAAATACTTCCTCTTTCTCTTCAACCTTTTCTTTTTTGTGAGTACATGGCTGGGGGCCAGTTGGATAGCCAGCTAGAGAATTATGATTTGCAGCTAGTTCTTGAAGCGGTGCTTATGCAGGGTGGGAAAAGAGGCTATTATACATAGATGTATACTTTAAAAAAAATCAAATCAAAAATCTTTTTCCCTTTCTTCAGATGCTTGGAAGTTTGGTCTTCAGTTTTGGCTTATGGATACTTTTTGATCAAAATAATTTTGCTTCTACACTTGGTAAGTTGCAGAGGCTCATTCCCACTTTACATAGTTGAATTTTAACCTTGGACTAAACCAGTGTTTCTAAACTTTTTTGCTCTTAAGACATCTTTCCATTTTTAAAAATTATACAAACCACAACAGCCTAGTTTTCACTTAATAGAATGTAAACAGGATTTACAAACTGTAGTAGCTGTATTCATGCATTGGGCTAAGCCAAAATTGAACAAAACAAAACAACACAATGTGTCACCCAGCAGATCTGTTCTTCCACGTAGTACTGTACCCCATCCTCCAGACTCTATGAGAGCCTTGGACTAAGGGGGAGCTGAAAATAGGCCTTCATAAAGGCCACACCCTCCCCAAATAAAATTGCATTGTCAACTCCTTCATCTTTATTTACTTATTTATATTTCATATTTAGAGAGGGGCTTCCTTTTCTAAATACTGTAGAGAATTTAGGATCATAATTGGGACTGAAAAATTTCATTGGTTAAGTGATTCAGTCATGTGACCACACCTTTACAATCTTTTTCGCCATCGTCATTACATGAACTATCATCACTGGGGTTTTTATTAGTTTATAATAAAGGAAAATATTAGGAAAATAGGCAAAGGAATAAGAAGGAAAGGGAAAAGTGTATGGAAAGGGGGAAGAAGAAAGAAAATGTGTTGACTTCTAATTCCCTTTGGTGCAGTAAAATAAATTAACATCAAACCTCAACTTTTTACTTTTACATACGGTAATAGTATAAGCCAACCATTTCTAGATCTAAGTGGTAAAACCTAAAATCAAATTTTCATTTTTTTCTCCACCTCAAGCACAAAATCAAGAAGTGGTTTGCAAATAGAAACAAAAGCAATCGTGGTTTTTTTCTTAAATGAAAGCAGTCAATTTAGCCATCTCCGTTAACTCCACTCGATTTTTGCAGCCATTCACTCATTGTGAGAATCAAAGCATCCTTCAATTTTTGTGCATAATCTGGCTGTCATCAACATATATAACTGATGTTCAAATCCCCCCCCCCAAGTATTTTCCCATTAACTATTGTGCTTGTTAAGTGAGTTGTGTGGTCTCCATTTCCAACAGTCCCTGCCAGCTTCCCCATTGACTTTGCTTGTCATAAGTGGCAGGATGGTGCAACAGTTGTAAATACATGCCAGTTGCCAAGCACCTGAATTACAATCATATGACTGTGGTGACACTGCAGCAGTTGTAAGTGCAAGGATCAGTTATAGAATAGAATAGAATAGAATAGAATAGAAAAGAATAGAATACTTTATTAGCCAAGTGTGACTGGACACACAAGGAATTTGTCTTGGTGTAAATACTCTTAGTATTTGGTTGCTTACTAAATAAATGGTTGTACGTCACCTGTAGATTCTCTTTCAAAAGACTTATACTTCTTTGGACAAAGGCCTATTAACCGGGCCTTGTTCTTCCAAACATTTCTGTCAGTTGAGGAATAAGAAAATAATAGAGACTGCTTATTATTTTTACAGATATATTTTCTATCATTTGTACCATTTCAGTTCTTGATTTGTTCCGATCTGTTTCTTCTTTCCTTCACAGGGTCCTCATATTATGCTCTCAAGATATGGTCCTACGTTTTCTCTGGTGTGGGCATCCTAACAATGTTTTTGGGATTTCTTGGATGCTTGGGTTCCCTCAAGGAAATCAAGTGTATGCTAGGACTTGTAAGTAGCCAGGTAGAAGTAGTGGGCCTTGATTCTGGTACTCTCTAAGAAACAAAAATAGCATTTATTGGGCTCAGTCAGTGGGAACAACATGTTGCTCCTGCATCCCAAATGATGTTCCCCTTAAATTAAAAGTTTTTTTAAAAAAAGCATTATAAACATTTCACCAAATGGAATAGGTTTTGAACGATTTTGTTGATTTTTTTCAGGAAGACAAAAACCTTCTGAAGTTTTGAGATGAAACTTGAGATTTCTTAAGTTCTAAGAAATTAGGTGGACAATTTGAGAAGAATATTTTAACCATGTGGGACAGAATTTTTGGGCAAGAAAAGGTTTCCAACTCCTGGGTTAAAGCAACAATTCTGGAAACTAGGATTTCTCTGGAAACTGGATCTACAGACTAAGACAGTGTAGCAGCATGACAGTGAAGAATTCCATGTAATAGAAAGATTGCAAAGAATCATTACTGTGGGTGCTCTCTAAGCATTTCATTGCCAAACTAAGTAACCTCATCAGTGAGTAATACTGATGATGTTACCTAGTTTGGAAATGAAAGGTCTGCAGGAAATCCACCAAGATCAGAGAGCAAGAAGGACTCCACATTCAATCCCGAGCTACAAAAATTCTATTCTATTGGAAGCTGTATAAAACAACTGAAAAAGCTGATATACTTTATTTGGAGGGTAGGTATAACTGTGATGTCACATATGCCATTCAATTAACAGAAAGAATTCATGAATAGTATATGGGGATATTTCATCTTTAACGTAAGACTGATATACTGATAAAATGATGGCGCAGCATTCTAGTTAATTAATGACTCAGGTGATCCCTCAAGTCACAGGTAGAAATCTGGTTGTGTACTTTTTAATAATGCAACAGAAAAAAGGAAGAAGAACCTGTATAGTGCATGATGTGGTAATTTCCCAAGAGGTTTTTATAGTGGTAAATGCAAAAAGGTAATTATGCTCTGTGGTATTTTCCCTTTGTAGTTATAAATTTGGTATTGTGTGATTTAGCTGCAGGCGTGTTTGCAGTGTTTATGGCAGTGGTTCTCAGTTTTTAATGATGACCGGTAGATTTTTAATATTGATTACTTGGAGGTCTGCTATACTGTGTGTCTGTATTTTAATAATATTTATCAAGTGTAGGCAAGAATGCAGATTAAAAATAAATTTAGCATGCTTGTTTGTAAGAATTTTGAAGAAATGTTCATGTGAAATGAATGACTAATATGAATGAATGAATGAATGAATGAATTATTGATTCCATAGTGATGTTGACTGATTTTGCTGGCCTTTTCTTTCTCCATCAATAGTACTTTGCCTTCCTACTGCTCCTGTTTCTTGGTCAAGTCACCATTGCAATCTTGATACAAACACACAGCAACACGGTAAGCAATGTAATAAATCAGAAGATTTCTCATAAGATAATCACCATAATCCTATTTCAGTGATGCTTATTTCTACTTGGAGAACTTTCTCTCTTGTTCTTATTCACTTCTTTTTAAAATTTTATTCCTAGTCTTTGATCTGGTTTACGTACTGGATAACAGCCTTCCCGAAGATTATGTGCCTTGATTTCTGAATGGCTCTTGGCATAAACAGTGGTGCAATGCAAACAATGCAGAACCATCCCCTCTCCACTCACACTCCACTGCAATCACCGGTCCGTAAACCCAGAAAGATTGGGGACTGCTGGTCTATTTGTTAAGTCCCACCAAAATAAACAAACAAACAAATAAGATTTGCTAGTCAAGAGAGATTTGTAAAAAAGCATCTGGAAAGAAAGGCACTTGTAGACTAGTTCACTACTTGCATATCCTTGTTTTCCATGAATTTTTGTGGAGAAAAAAAAGATGTAGTCCTACTACATGATCTGAAACAGAATATTGTGTTCCACCATCTTGCACCTTCTAGACCAAATCCTTTCTCTCTTTATTTATATTTTTCCCTTTCTTCCTCTCTCTTTCTCTGTTCCTCTGCCCAGAACCAAAAACAAACAAACAAAAAACGGGCGCGGAAGAAATGGCTGGGGCCTGTAAAAGAGAAGAATCAATTTAGACCAGGGGTGTGAAACTCCAAGCCCGGGGCTGGATCGAGTCTGCAGGGTATTTAGATCTGGCCCGCAGGTTTGCCCTGGAAACAGTAAAGGACTGACCCACAGTGCCTCTGCCAGTGAAAATGTGTGCAGCCCTCCCAAACTCCGTTTTCACTGGCAGAGAGTTGCAGGAGGCCATTGCAGCCAAAAACTGAGCTCGGGAGCCCATTTTTGCTGGGACAGCGCTCAGGCCACCACAGATGCCCCCAACACGAACGATGTCATGCTGTCCATGTCCACCCTGTCCATGACCCCCGCCCCCAGAGGTCAAACACAACCCTGATGCGGCCCTCAATAAAATTGTGTTTGACACCTCTGATTTAGACTCATCATTTCTGTGTCCTTAGTGCTTGTGATTCACAGACCCGGGACGGAGGGTGGGAGGAGGAGGCATAAGAAAAGGTGTATGGCAGATTATATAAAAGAACGAGAGAAAAGCTATGTAGACCTTGTCCTGGAGTAAGTATGATGTTTGTAAATTATGAATGGGATTTTTTGCCAATCAGAAAATTCTGTTTTTTGCCACCCTTTTTCTTCCAGCCAAAGTTAGCTGTATCCCATTCTTTGTACAGGCTTTGGGTTCTTTAAACTCCTTCCACAAGCATAAATACTGTATGTTGATGCCTTTAAGGTTTAATGCCTTAACACAAGTAATTAAGGCTTGGGTTTAAAGTCTTGCATAATGCAATGAGTAAAAGAACTAGCTCGCTTTCTGGAAGGGCCGGGTGATCAGCAACTCTGTATGGCCTTTTGAGATGATGAAAAAGATTCAGCTTTGCAAATTACTGTCATCACTGTTCCCCAAAACTGGATTCTCTGGGAAAAGAAAAGAAACCTTGCATCCTGTTCGCTTTGAGATACTGTCCATTGAGAGTAGAGTTTGGGCAGAACCTCCCATTCTACTCCAAATACAGGTAGTCGTTGAAATATTGCAGTTCATTTAGTGACTGTTCAAAGTTACAGTGGCGCTAAAAAAAGTGACTTATGACTGTTTTTCACACAACCATTGCAGCATCCCCATGGTTATATGGTCTAAATTCAGACACTTGGCAATTGACTCATATTTTTGACAGTTGCAGGGTCCTGGGGTCCTGTGATCTCCTTTGGCGACCTTTTGACAAGTAAAGTCAGTGGGGAAGATAGATTCACTTAACAACTGGTGTTGCTAATTTAACATCTGCAATGATTCACTTAACTGCTGTGGCAAGAAAGGTCATAAAATGGAGCAAAACTCATTCAACAAATGTCTGACTTAGCCACAGAAATGTTGGGCTCTGTTGTGGTCGTAGGTCGAGGACCACCTGTAAATATAATCCAGTTTTTATTCCTAGCTGGGTATTTCAAAGTTGTGGGCATCTGGTTTACTGTGTTTGAACCAAGCCCCATCTATAAACAAAGACTTGTCTCCTCTTCTGCATCCTGGAAGGACTCCAGGAAAAAACAGGGTGCTGATCTGTCACTGATGGACACATCTTTGTTTTTATATATGATATAAAGAGCCTACCTAAGCTTGCTATTCCTCCCACATGCAGATCAGTTCAACAGTGGCTGGACACGTAAAAACCATCATTGTAAGCTATGGAACAAATGCATCCCTTTCAGATCATGGTGACAGCTGGGATTTTGTGCAGGAGCAGGTAAGCTGTCTTCCTGTTAGTAATGTTAGTTTTATATCCTTTAGCTCCTTTGATGTGATTCTTTGGGAACATATTTGGCCATTCACAGAGCGAGTCATTTTTAAGCCATAAGGGGGTTTGTTTGGATTTAGCTTAGAGTGCTGGTTGGGGCCAGCCTTATGGCTTGAAAGTCATGATATATGAAATTCTAAAAATTCTGGTTGATTTGATGAATGCAGCCATAGACATGATCTGCAACTGAGCTTAGTTTATTCATCAAGTATGGCTATGATGTCATATTTACTTTTATTCATTGCATATATATGCAATGCCATGATGGCACAGTGGTTAAAATGCAGTATTGCAGGCTAATTCAGCTCACTTGCCAGGAGGTCAGTCCTCACCGGTTCAAGGTAGACTCAGTCTGCCATCTTTTTGAGATCGGTAAAATGAGGATCCAGATTGTTGGGGGCAATATGTTGACTCTGTAAACTGCTTAGAGAGAGCTATTATGCACTGTGAAGTGTAGATACAGTAAGTCTAAACTCTAAATTAGTAAGTCTACAGTAAGTCTAAACTCTAAAACATTACTATTACTGTTAATCTTATCACTCCTTATCACCCATCCTCTCCCACTTGTGATTGTAGGACTGTAACTTTGTTGCTTGTATCCTTACGATTTATATTGACTGTTTCCTAGATTGATTTGATTGTTGATTGTACCACTATCATTAAGTGTTGTATGTTATGATTCTTGATTCTTAACGAATATATCTTTTCTTTATGTATACTGAGAGTATTTACACAAAGACAAATTCCTTGTGTGTCCAATCACACTTGGCCAATAAAAGTATTCTATTCTATTCTATTCTATTCTATTCTATTCTATTCTATTCTATTCTATTCTATTCTATTCTATTCTATTCTATTCTATTCCATTCCATTCCATTCCATTCCATTCCATTCTAAGTGCTATTGCTAAACAGCTTGCTTTTCCTCTATATTGGAGCTCAAGTTGTCATAGATAAGAGCCCTTGTTCTCAACTTTGGCAACTTGATCTGTGGACTTCAACTCCCAGAATGTCCCAGGCAGCATGTTCATTTAGGAGTTCTGGGAGTTGAACTCCACACATCTTTAAGTTGCCAAAGTTGGGAAACATTGGATAAGAGATTTTATGGAATCTCCCATTTAGGCATGGACCATTATCCATTTGCTCTTATCAGCAAAGTTGTGCCAACCTTGTGCTGGATCTTTTCCTCTAGTATAGTTTTTTCTGTTGCAGGGTTAACAAGCAATACCTTTCTTAAGTTGCACGATACCCAGACAGGAAAGTTTTGTCTCTCTAACCATCTTCTCTTTCTCACCGTTTTCCATCCCCTCCCTTGTTCTTAGTTCCAATGCTGTGGCTGGACAGGCTGGACAGACTGGATGGAAAACAGCAGAGTCAGAAATGCCTCGAAGAAAGAATTTCCCTGCTCTTGTGGTAACACCTCTGCTCTGCACTCAGCCAACAACAGAACAACTGCCAAGCCGGCCCTCTTTTGCCAAGCAGAGCCACAATTGCTAATCAACAATAAAGTGAGTAGCCCACGCATTGTTCTTGGGCTGAGGGTGTGCACAGTGCAGTCCAACCCCTATGGGTACTTGTGGTGATAGTTGTATTTCTCTGTTGATATAAAACAATAAACCTGATCCAAATCCTGCAGGGAAAAAAAAGTCATGAAATGCCAGCATTCTCTGTGCCCACTGATATTTGTATCCCAAAATGTTTAGGCAATCGTTTAAGAGGGGCAGGGAGGCCTACATGCGATTATATGACAGTGTGAAAAGGTTGCCAGTTCCTGCTCATTGGAGAGAGGAAGAGGGAGAATTTGTGCACAAAATATTAAGCTTGCCACATTCATTCTCCTGTTTAGCTACTGAAAAGAGATGACTTAAGGCAGGGGTCCCCAACCCCTGAGTTGTGGATCGACACTGGGCCAGATCATGCCAGAAACAGGGCCATGCAAACAAGCGAAGCCCCATCTGCAGGATTCAAGTAGCATGAGAAAGAACTATCCGGTCTGCGGAAAAACCTCTCTCCATTGAACCAGCTCCTGGTACCCAAATGGTTGGGGGCCATTGACTTAAGAGACAGATGGGTGTGGCAGATTTCTGTAAAATAAAAAAAGAAATAGATAGGAAGGAAAGCACATATGGAACAGCTTATTCCAATGTATTTGGGAGATGCCAAATGGAGGGAAGTTGTAATAGATCATGTAGGGCCCTCAACCAAAAAACAGTGGTGCATGTCGATTGGTTGATTCCAATTTTGAGATTGCCCTACTCTTTGTCAACTGACTGGTTTACAAATAAACAAAACATAGAAAACATGGCAAGCAAGAAGAACAAAACTTAGCTAAATTAAAAGATGCTTCCAAGGCCTGGGTGAACATCCACGTTTTCAGTAATTTCTGGAACATCATAACAGCTTTTGCCCAGTTTGGCACTTTCTAGGTAGGAGATCGATATGATTGTAGCAAAAAATGGGACAGTTCAGAAGGAAAAAAGGAATTTCCACCCCCTGTCCTATCCACTTTTTTTCCACGCATTGATTTCTACATCACTGTGCGCCTTGTCTTACTTTTCCCAACCATTAACCTACTTGCAAAAAGCAATTGTACAGAAAAGGATTACACACTATTTGAGCCTCCCCACAATTGGTATATCCTTTTGATGGAAGTATTTATTTCTGAATAGCATGCATTTCTGTTTTAAAAAATGGTACAATAAAATGAGAGGCAGTCGCACATGATTACAATAGCATTATTTAAAAAGAAACAAAAGACTACTGAGAACAAAGCATCTAGCCACAGCCCAGAATGTGGGTTCTAACTTATAATGAAAGCTAAGTCTTACAGCTTCCCTAACCCATAACAAGGTAGGGCAAATCAGATCTTGGGGTTAGGTTATTCCAAAGAAGAATGGCTGCAACAGAGAAGACTCTGCATCTTGGGTTTTGTAAACAAACTCCTTAAGGGAAATGGCTTGGAGTGAATCTCCCCTCAATCTGTTTGGATATGGATACAAGCTACAGGGGCAAGTTGGTCTTGTAAATATGTAGGCTCTTAGCCATAGAGGTATTAATTTCAGCCTCTTTCTGCTGAGTCCTTAAAATGAACCACCAGTTGGTGTCGGAGTGATGAAAGGAAACAGGTATTCATACATTGCAAAAGTAATTTGTGGGACTCAACGCGTCCTGATATGGAGAAGGACGGTGCTATGTGTGCTTCTGAATGTTGGGTAAGCCGGGTTCGTAAAGAACTAGAAAAGGCAAAGTTAGGGCCAGAGTGCAGAAAACAAAGGTGGAGTATTCTTTTCTGATTTTGGGGTGATGGTGAATTTTTTGGCTATATCTGATGGGCTGCAACGTGGGAGCGAGTGAAATGTGCCTTAAATTGATCTGACAAGGGTTGTCCTTGGAATTCCATCCGATAATCCTTTCTAATCTATCTTTGTCCATTTGCAGGGCTGCAGGGAGAGTGTCCAAATCTGGCTGAACAATAACATCATCAGCATTGTAGGGATCTGCCTTGGGATTGCTCTTCTAGAGGTAAGGGCTCCTGAAGGACAATACAGCTACATTTCTATCAATGGCGCAGAAATGGTACAGGGAGGTGCAAATATTGATAAGCTTGGAGACCTCCAAAAAACAAAATTATTCAGTTTATACCACCTTGCGTGGTGTTTACTTTCAGGACTGTCCAAAGACATTTTATAATCATAATCTTTTTCCCATCAATCCCAATTATATCAAGATATGAAGCACTGAAGTGCAATTGGGTCTTGTAGGTAGAAACTCCCTTATAGCCACTTCGTCCTCTGGAATATTAAGCTAAATATTTAAACATTTGTTGCTGTTTCATGGTATTCAGTTTTGGGTGTTAGAGACCTAATTTTTTTAAAGTGTCCAATGGTCATAGCTCCCTGGATAGTTTCCTGCTGGATGATGGAATGATCCAAACCTGGTTTTCTTCTGCCCACCTAAAGTGCCATTATATTTCTGCTGTCAGTGCTATTATTCAAATCATGTATTGCCCAGTGTTGTCCCTACCAATCTACTCATTTGGAGCAGTAGGGATTGCTGGTGGACACCCAAAATGTTTACATGTGCTTGATTGTGAGTGCATTATGTGATAAAGAATTGAGGTCTTTATTTCTTCATCCTGGATCTTTCTTGTAGTTACTGCAGCTGCTGTGCATGTTGCTGGTCACTGCATTAGAACACAAGGACCTGCATAGTGGTGGCTCCCAGGAGATCCCTAACAGGTGGCTAAAGGGAGTGCATAGATGTTTCCAGCTTTCTGCCATGCCTTGTTATTTGTGTCTTCCTATGTTGGGAAGGATGTGATTTCTTCTCTGCATGTCCTCTGACCTGTGTGACTCATGTGTGCAGTGCAGGGATTACTGATTTTTCTTGGGTGGAAGTATTGGCCAGAAAAGCTGCTGTCATCCCCAAATCATGCCATGGTGCCACGCTTGTGTATTTGCAAGGAAGATGCTCAACAAGACTACTGGGCTACTGAGAGATCCCATATGAAATCCCTGTGAATTCATCTAGGCAGTTTCCTCCATCTGGTGTTCTTCATATCTGCTGGATCATAATGTAGAATAGTGCAGTAATTTTAGAAGTATGATTTAGGCCAGAAAGACTTGGGAGCCGTGATGGCACAGTGGTTGGAATGTAGTATTGCAGGCTAATTCTGCTGACTGCCAGAGTTTGATGGTGACTGACTCAAGGTTGACTCAGCCTTCCATTTTTCCGAGGTTGGTAAATTTACGACTCAGATGGTTGGGGGAAATAGGGTGACTTTGTAAACTCCTGAGAGAGGACTGTAAAGCACCATAAAGCAGTATATAAGTCTGAAGTGTTATTGCTATCAAGTTTATTCCAACTGTATAGTTTATTGGCTAATGTTGGGCGATTCACTCTTTCAGCCCAAACTTAGAGAATGGTTATTTGTTAACATAAAAGGAGACCCTGTGTAGAGCTGCCTTGAGCTCTTGCACAAACAATGCAAGAGATAACAATTCCCATCACCCCAAGCCAGCACAGCCAATAGTTGCTGAGGATGATAGCCAATGTTGTCCAACACGATAGGAAGAAGCAATAAATAGCTTGTGTGGTGATTATCCTTCTGGGAATCTTTTCTCCTTGCTGACTTTCTGAATTGGCTAGAAGATAATAGATTTTGTGTGTGGGTGCGTGGGTGTAGCTTAAGAGTAGTTTGCTTTGGAAGATTACAAATGATTGTGTACTTCCATTTTTTGTTAAAGAAAAGCAAACACAGCTGTTTGTGCTGTTCTGTAAGGTTTTTAATAAATTGGATTTTAGAGGAAGAGCTAAAAGAGGAACAAAATGTTTTTCTGGTATTCCCCAATGAGAATCACATAGATTTGGAAAACCCATGAAATTAATCTATTCTCTGATGCAGATCTAAATTTAGAAATCAGTTCTTTTTCAAAGTCCCTGGAATGAAGTCTTCTTCTTTCATTATTCCTTCTGTCTGCACATTAAATCCCATCTAAGAGCTCTTAACCTTTGGGCCTTTTGGGGTAAGCCCTGCCTGTAGTTGCAGCCCAAACACCTAGCTGCTCCAGTGTGCTTTTGATATGCTGACTGCTGGGTATATGCATATGCCTGTTGTGTTTCTCAACACCTACACACCCTACTCCTGGCCTAGGTCTGGGCATGTCTGAAAAGCTGAAGTGTTGATTTGCTTCCCAAAGTGATGCATGAGCCCCTGGGTTATGTTTGTGCTACTTCTTAATTCTCCCTCAATTCTGAAACCAATTTCCATGAGGGTGAAGGTTCGTTCTCTGAGCTTGTGGGCTGGTTTCTGAACGTTTCATTAGCAGATTAGGTAACATCTTCAGCAGAGTTTAGGGGATGTCATTGTCAGTGTTCTTCTGTTTATAAGGACTTTTTGTGGTCAGTAACTCTTGTAATAAGTCAGGTGTGGGTGTGTCAAGTGAGAGTCTCTTAGGGATCTTGTGATGGGTCACTGATGAGTCATTGGAGAGAGTCTTTTGAAGAATCTTGTGATGGGGAGGTTACATCAGGTGAGGGTCATTGGGAGGTTAACTGCTGGTGGGGGGTTTGCTTGGGTTGGTTAAGAGTTGGTGCCGTCTCTGATTGTGCAGTTGATTTGGATTCTGAAGGGTTCGTAGACTGGTTGTACATCCATGTGTCTGTTGATGGAATTGCTTTTGGAGTGGCAGGCTTTGATGAACTCACGAGTGTAGCGGGTGGTGGCCAAATATTTTTGTGTTGCTCCAATTGAATGGTGCTGTTTGGTGTCGGTGTGGGTAGAGATTAAGATTGTTCTCCCACAAGCTCGGAGAACAAGCCTTCACCCACATCCTACCCACAAGCTACAGATATTCGCCACTATTGCAAACTTCTTTCTATTTTTATAATCATTTCAATTATTTCACACACCTGCTGCACAGGGACATCTACCTGGAGTTTTGGCAAGGTAATTCATTCCAGGGCATTGTCAGGCCTGAATGTTCCTTTAGTACAAATGTGTCAATGTCCAAATGTCAGTGCTTTGTTTTCCTCACCTCATTCCTCCTTTGCAGGTTATTGTCTTGCTTGCATCTCGTGCTGTTGCAAAAAGAGCTTTACTGCCCCCGCAGGGCCAAAATGAAGCATAGCATGCCAGAGGGCCCAAGAATTGCAGGGGCTGCAGTTAAATGAGCTCCAATAAGAACTGGAGAAGGCAAATGTAGCAAATAATTAAAAAAAAAAAACATAAGATGCTACAGGGCAGAGACTCATCCCTTTTTTAGCATTGATAGTCATCTTCCTTCCTTTCGGCAAGGTATTCTATGAGTCATTCTGATCTCCGTAGCTTCTTTCCATCTTGTGTATTTACTTTCCCTGTGGTGGATTATATTTCAAGTATTCCACAGTCAGCCTGACCATTGCTGATCCATGTGTCTGGAGAGCATCCAGATAAGGGAAATAGCTTCAAGGATAATGGGGATTGTACACATGAAAAGTACTTGGCTGGGTTCGGTAAGGATTCAGAGATAGCTACTGTACTGATGAGTTGTAATTTGAGGGCTTAGGCTTAGACACAGAGTGGGCAACTATGGCTTCTTTACAACCCGTGGGCTTCAACTTATGGCTAGTTCTGGGAATTGAAGTCCACAAGTTGTGAAGGGGCCATCCCAATGTCCAACCTTCCCAACGGCCAGAAATCTGAAGCAGAAATATTGGAGGTTAAAGTCCAACACATCTGAAAGTCATGGTAACAAATTGAGAATCTTATTTTTAAATTGCTTTACAAAACTATCCCAAACATGGAGTTTAGCTTTTCTTATGATCAATGTGTGATTACTGTTTCTTTTACTAAAATCTCTCTTTTTCCCCACAGCTCTTCCTCATGATGGTATCGATGTTTCTGTGTAGAACCATTGGCCCCAATTACGACAAGCTTGCTCGTTATTCCTAGGCAAACAAAGTTTTTGGGGAAACGGCATTGAAGAACATTCTGTCTTATTCAGACATTCCACTAGGGTTTTAAAACAGTATATTGTAGGGCTGCGGTTGTGTTCAGCAAGTTTACTATCTAACTTTCTTGTCCCAATTGATCCAGTCTTGGAAACTGAGATGAAACTTTCAAGAATCAGAGCAACCAATAAGAAAACAGAGTATTATGAAACAGGTTTTTACCTTCACTTTGGTAAAGATAATTTAGCTTTTAGATGTCCTCCAAAAATTATAGCCGTATCGGCTTTTAGCTTTACATTAAATCCCTACAATAAGTTTTATATGTTTTTATATTGCATTGTCCTGGAATGCACAGATTTTAACAGCCATGCCCTGATCTACTTTTGCATGAGGAGAACTATTTAACCATAAATCACTTATTGCTAGGACCCACCAAATACGACCTGGGAAAAATTGTTTGTTAAGAGTGTATACATATTACACATTCGACACTACCCCCAAATCTTTAATACAGCTATTTTAGACCTAAAGCTAAAAAAATTTTTTTTTAAAAAGAGAAATTCACAGCATATTATTTAGTCAACAATTCAGGTTGTGAATTAACAGTGGGGTTGGCCCACCTGATTGGACCCAAAGTTTCATTCCTACTACTATTGAGGTATGATCTATGCAGCCAGTCTTCAAGCATTCTCAACTATGCACTTGATGCACAATTATTAGGCAAGTTGTATTTTGGAGGATTAATTCCATTATTGAACAATTACAGGGCTCTCGGTCAATCCAAAATGTTAATAAACCTCAAACCTGAACATTTAAGAGAGTGAGGTTTTGGCTTTCTTAGGATAATATCTGTGCATGCACAATTATTGGGAAACTATTAGTGTGCAGAATGATTGTGCAACCAAATGAAAAACAAAAATTTGCCCGTCTCACTCTTTTGTTTGTATCTGTTTATTAACTCAAAATGTACAAGTAAACATTTCTGACATTTCACACATACACACAAAAAAAATCAGTGACCAATATAGCCAGTCTTCTTTTCAGTAACAGTCATAAGCCTTCCATTCATGGAGTCTGTCAGTTTCTTGATCTGTTGACGATCAACTTTTTGTGCAGCAGCAACCACAGTCTCCCAGACACTGTTCAGAGTGGTGTCCTGTTTTCCTTCACCGTAAATCTCCCATTTAGGAAGGGCCCACTAGTTCTCAATAGGGTGTAGGTCAGATGAGGAAGGGGAGGGCATGTCTTTATTCTTTCATCTTTAAGGCCTTTACTGGATAGCCACCCAGTGGAGTACTTTGATGCATACAATTGAGCATTGTCCTGCATAAAAATCATGATCTTCTTGAAAAACGCAGACTTTTTCCTGTACCACAGCTTCAAGAAAGTCTCTTCTAAAATCTGGCAGTAGGTTTGGGATTTGATTTTGAGTCCATTTTTAAGTTGAAAAGGTCCAACTAGCTCATCTTTAATAATACCAGCCCATACCAGTATCCCATCTCCACCTTGCTGGTGTCTGAGTCTTAAGCGGAGCTCTGTGCCCATTACTGATCCAGCCATGGGCCCATCCATCTGGTCGGTCAAGTCACTCTCATCAGTCCATAAAACCTTTGAAAAATCTTCAGAGATTTCTTGGCCCAGTCTTGCCATTTCGTGTCTTGTTCAGTGGTGATCAGCCTTCCTTAACTTGGTCATGTCTCTGAGCACTGAACATCTTGTCCTTCTGGGCACTCCAGATAGAGGTTTCAGTTCTGGAATATGACAGCACTGGAGGATAATGGGTTCCTGGTGGCTTCACATTTGATTCTTCTCAAATCTTTGGCAGTTAACGTGCGTCTTTTTTTTCCTCAACATCTTTCTTCTGAACCTTTTGACTATTTGCAATAAAACGTTTGATGGTCCTGCGATCATGTCCCAATACCTTAGCAATTTTGAGAGTGCTGCATCCCTCTGAAAGACCTTTTTTTTTTTTTTACAATTTTTGACTTTTCAAATGTCCTTTTTTGGCCCGTTTTGCCTGAGGAAAAGAAGCTGCCTAATAATTATGCACACCTTGATATAGGATGTTGATCTCCTTAGGCCGCACTGTCCCTCATTACACAAATACAGATCACCTGATATGCTTATATCCACTAAGCATTCAAGTTTATACAGCTTGGGAGGTGGAAAATAAGCATAAAAATGGTATGGTCAAAATACTCATTTGCCTAATAATTGTGCACAGTGTATATAGGATATAACCAAACTTTGCATGTTCTATGCTACCCTAGGCATGTACTTTCGTATTTAGCCTTTTATACCACAATCTTTTCTTGATTTGGTTTGAATTAACCCATGTTGAAAACGGCTCAGTTAAGAGGGCTGCATTTCTCCCTTATGTGTGGACTAACCTGTTCCATCACAAGCCTTTTCCTTTTGTGGGATAAAAGGGATGAGGGACCTGAAATCCATCTGATATTGTTAGTTGGTGGCTCCTAATTGTCCCAGAGAGCGGTAAGGAATGTTGAATGACAAGTTCCACAGCACTGAATCTGCAAACCTTTGGTGGAGCTCTTGATCCCAGGAGCTAGTTCAGAGGCAGAATATAACTGGTCTGGAATGAAGACAGGTCTGTTTGCACTGGGAATGCGTTGATGTAGCCATTAACATTTCTGTGGATTTTGGGATGGTGCCTCTTTACTGTCCCAGCAGGTGTAAATGAAGGGGACACCTTATCTTTTAACCCCAATAATCGAACATGGTTTTGTGTTACGCCTTGCACACTTACAGCCCTGTGCAGGGCATATGAGAAAATCTCTTTTTGCTTTTTTTGTGGTATTTGTATATTCAGCTTGGACGTTTAAAACAGATGTATAAAGGGGAAAATAGTTTGAGGAAGAGGATGCAGGTGGAATGAGGTACATATATAATTTCACCTCCTTTCTCAACTTACTGCGGTTTGTTCTTGGCAGAATTAGGCTTTTTAAAATTTTCTATTTTGTAAATAAAAATGATCCATGAAACAGATGTGTTTGGTTCATTGAACTTGGATGAAAAATAGCTTTTAGCTATAGGTAGTGACTTAGTGACTGTTCAAAGTTGCAACGGCACTGAAATAGTGACTTATGACCATTTTTCACATTTACAACCATTGCATTGATCACATGATTTGCAGATGCTTGACAACTGACTCACAGTTATGACGGGTTGCAGGTCCTTGGGTCATGTGATCATCTACAACCTTCTGACAAGCAAAATCAATGGGGAAGTCAGATTTACTTAGCAACTGTGTTACTAATTTAACAACAGTGATTCACTTAAGAAATGTGGGGAAAGTCATAAAACGGGACAAAACTCACTTAAATGTTTTATTTAGCAGCATAAACTTTGGGCTCAGTTGTGGTTGTAAGTTAAGGACTATGTGTATTTACAATAGTGACAAATATATGTAACTACTCATGCTTTGCTATGAAACTGTGGTCGGGCTTAGTTTTGGGGGAGGAAAATAAAGGGGGGAAAAGATTTTCCTCTGCCTACCTGCATCCATCGGTATTCATCTGGCTAGCATCCTGTCAGTGTGTAAGAGGGTTCAGGGCTGTTTGGAAACTGAAACAATATTTGCTGTGTGAGCAAGACAGCAAGGAGCCTGGATGTGGCTTAGGCCAACTGTTCTGTACTAAAGCTGGTTGCAGCTGTGAGACTGAAACTCCTGTTTGTGTTTTGCATTTGGAACAGATTTCTTTTTAGGTGAGGAGGGGGAGTAGAACTCCTTAGCATCAGTGTGTGTTAATAGTATTATACAAAATACTAATGCTCTGATGGTCATTTCGCAAAATCCTTTCTTAGTAAGCACCCAGAAGCCAAGAGGAACATACGTGCCAAATTTCTAGTTTGTAGGCTTTACGATTCTGAAGATTTTGTGATGATGCGTGAGTGATATTTTGCTTTTATATATATAGATAAGGGTGGAGGGCAAGGGTAAAGGTTCATTCCCTAACCTTTGTGGGTTGATTTCCAAACATTTCATTGCAAGGCTAGGTAACATCTTCAGTGGAGATTTAGGGAAGCTATTTAGCTATTTCTCCCAAGAATAGAGATACTATTGATAGAATCCCCGGTCAATTCTAAGCCACACCCCTTATTCCAGTTGACTAATCTATGCCAGGGGTGTAAAACTCGATTTCACTGAGGGCCACATCAGAGTTGTGTTTGTGGGGTAGGCCAGATATGTGTGTGGCCAGCTCAATGCCATTCATCAAGGCTGTTTTGGGCCATGACAGCCTCCTGCAGCCCTCTACCAGCAAAAACAGAGTCCTCCTCAGGCTCCGTTTTTGCTGGCAGAGGGCTGCAGGAGGCCGTTGTGGCTGAAAACGGAGCCTTGGGCAAGCTACGTGTGGCCCTCCCGAGCTCCGTGTTTGCTGGCAGAGGCATCACGGCTGGTCTTTCGTTGTTTCCAGGGCAATCCCGTGGGCCAGATCTAAGCACCCCACCGGCCTTGAGTTTGACACCCCTGGTCTATGCTGATTGGCTGGTTCTGAGTCATAAAGGAGCCACCTGAGACACAACAGACTTCTGTTAAATGAATTTGGCTTCCCCATTGACTATGCTTGACATAATGTCTCAAAAGGTGATTACATGACCCCGGCACACTGCAGCTGTCATAAATATGGCTCAGTTGCCCAGCACCCAAATTTTGATCACCTGACCATGGCCAACGCTACAACTGTCATGTGAAAAATGATCATAATTCACTTTTTTTCACTGCCATTTTAAGTTCAAATAGTCACTGGAAAAATTGTAAATTGAGAACTACCTATATATCATCCCCCTTTCCTACCAAAGAGGGGGAGAGAGAGAAGCAACTACGAATGCCAAAAAGATGACAATCATGATCCTACATTTAGCCAGATAAGGCTTATTTAGGTCAAACATGTAACAAAGCTCAGTTTACTTTTATATTTTTGTTTCATTTAAGCCTGGGATTATGTGTGAAATAGAGCAAGGTGGTAATTTTGATTCCAGAGCCAAAACATAATTCCATTCATTCTCCAAAATTTGGACAGCTATTTTTGAAATGCTTCCTTAGATATAGAACTAAGGCAGCAGAAGGCAAAAGAAAGTGGGCTTAAAAGACCACTTTTTCAGTTTCCAATTGTTAATGCTCTTGCTAATCTTTAATTACTCAGATGAGTAATATTAAAATACCTCCCACCTGAACTACAAAGATAACGTAGTGGACTACATGATCTCATGCTCATTGTGTAGATGAAGCCTGAGTTTTGCAAGGCAATATCTTTCTACAGTGTGAATTCTTATCTGCATTTGAAATGGCATCAACATGAGCCTTAAACTCCCAGGCAGCAAAGGAGAAATTGGATAACTGAGACAAGAATTTTGCTTAAGCAAGATGGTTGTTATGCAACTGACATCCAATTTTACAATCTTTTTTTGCCATGGTTGTTACATGAATCGTTATTAAGCTAATCTGTCTTGGCCTATTGACTTTGCTTGTTGGAAACCAGCTGGGAAGGTCACAAATGGCAATCGCATGACTCCCAAATGCTAAAACCCTCATAAATATATGTTAGTAGCCAAGCCACCAAATGTTGATCACGTGATCATGTGGGTACTGTGATGTCATAGGAATGGTTGTAAGTCACTTTTGAGTGCTGTTGTAACTTCAAATGGTCACTGAAAGAGTTGTTGTAAATCAAGGACTGTACCCTACGAAGGAGATTCATCCAACATGGAACAAGAATTCAAATTTGATTTAAAACTTGTGTTAAACCTTAATATCATTGCTGCCACTGTATATAACCGTCTTCAACCTGAGTCACATTAAACCCTACAGTTTGTGGTGGGCTCTTAAAAGAATCTGGGGAGAACATGTGAATCGGAAGCATCAGGTTGTGCATTACTGATGTGAACCTTTCCCTAGAGTCTGATATACAGAGTGTAGGAATGGGGTCACTCTTCAGCAGTTTGCGAGAATTAAGTTATAATGTACATCAAAGCCTGACTGTGTTACAAAACAGTAATGCTAAGAAATACAATTTATTCTTACAATGGAGTGTTAAATCCCAGGAAGTAATGACAAGGGACAATGTTCTACCAGGAGATTTAGAAAGATATGCATGGAGTTGAGATCCTCAACATGCCTGAGATGATTTGACCAAAGGAGTATTTTTTCCAGTAGTACACCTGTTCAAAGGACCATCCCACCTGTAAGATGGTCTACTGAGCTATCCCATCTTTAAGATGGTCTAACTGAGCAATGGGTTCAAGCCTTTTAAAGGTTTAAACCTTGGTTTTGTGATCATCAAAGAGAGAAAAATATTTGTTAGTAAACTTAAAAAAGTAGATATGAACGGGGTCAGCAGTTTTTCTAGTGATTCAGCCATCAGTTCTACCATCCAGTATCATATGATAAGAGGAAGATGGTCTAGTTGGCTGGGGTTTATTTGTTGAGCATGATGAACTGCTTCTCAGTCCCGGCCCAGCCGATAGATGTGATGCTGCGATCCCCGTTCTTTTGCAGACACCTCAAACACAAAGGCCATGCACAGGAGCAATTCCTGCGTTTCTTGATCCCGCAAAACCTGTTTGGAAACGAGAATAATAGTTTTTAATGGTAGAGTTCACTAATTGGCTCATTGAAACAAACCAACCCATACCCTGGAGCAGATGTGTTTAACCTCCTAACCCCCTTTCCAGGGAAATTAACACAATATAAAAAATACAGGTGGTCCTTGATTTGCAACCATTTGTTTAGTGACTATTTGAAGTTACAACGGCACCAAAAAAAAAAAAGTGGCTTATCACCAGTTTTCACACTCACGACCATTAAAGCATCCACATGGTCAGGTGATAAAAATTTGGGTGCTTGGCAACTGGCATGTATTTATCTCTATTGCATTATCCTGGGATCATATGATCACCTTTTGTAACTTTCTCAGATAGCTTCCGACAAGCAAAGTCAATGGAGGAAATCAGATTTGCTTAGTGACCGCATGTTTCTTAACTATGGTAAAAATCAGCTGTAAAATGGAACAAATGTCATTTACCAGCTGCCTTGCTTAACACACACAAAAAATGTTAGACTTAGTTGTGATCATAAGTTGAGGACTACCTGTAATGTTAAGGCCAGTGTCTCTCCAGTCGGCTCTTTCATGGTAGGGACTAACCACTGAAACTCTATACTTGATTATGGGGCTGCTCTGGGCATTATCTTCCCTTATGTAACCTGTCCCTCATCCCTCATTGATTGATGCAATGCAGCATTCCACTACAGGCAGTCCTCAACTTACGACCACAATTGGGTTGTTAAGTGGGACATTTGTTAAGTGAGTATTGTCCCATTTTGTGACCTTTCTAGCAATAGGAGCTAAGTGAACCATTACAATTGTTAAGCTAGTAATATGGTTGTTAGGTGAATCTGGCTTCCCCAGACTGCTTGCCGGAAGGTCACAAAAGGGGAATCATATGACCCCGGGATACCGCAACCGTCATATGAATGAGTTGATCACATGACTATGGAGATGCTGCAATGGTCATGTATGTGAAAAATAGTCATAATGCTGTTGTAATTTTGGATGGTCACTAAACGGAAGTGTTGTAAGTTGGGGACTATCTGTATTTTAATGAGAACTATTAACCAATTGAATCTAAGTGTATTTACACATACGAATGACTATTCTAGAGGGCAGACTTCGGGATTAATAGTTCCTGAGATCACTTACTGTCTGCCAGATGTTTTCAGGTGTTTCCTGGCACAGTCCCCAACATCAAAATAAAATATATTTAAAATAGGCATTTTAACACCTCAACATTACCAAATCTCACTGAATCTAGGGCAAGAAGGTTTATCTTTCATATTATTGATCTTGCGATTTCAATTTATAAAAGAATAATTGTTAATATAAATTAGTAAGCCTCCAGGCATCCCTGGGAATATCATGTTGCTGAATCTTGGCTTACGTGACAGTTCTCTCAAAAACACTTTCAATGATGATGGAGAAAGCCATATAAAAGTCTGGAAACCGGTATTTTCAGTGATGCATGTGTGAATCACAGCAGGCAGCACAATCTTTAAAAAGGCCCTACCTTCTTAACCCAGGATGCCTCTCTGTCAGTAAATGGAACGGATATTATATAAGCATATAAAATATCTTTTTATCTGTTCAATTAAGTCGGGAACATATTTAAAACAACAAAACATTTAATGACTGTTCTCACTATTTAATTGATTAAATGTTCCAGACATAACCTTAATTGCACCTTAACTCATTTTGGGATGCTGAGAAAGAAGGGATCAGATAATCTTCATAAAGACTAACAGGAAACGAGTTTCTGGGACAGGTTTAACTTGCCTGGCACTCCCAGAGAAGCAACCAGCATAACAACTTTCGTTTCATGAAAAGAAAACCTATCTAGCTTAAATATGCCCTCAAACAAGCCATAGCAATTTTGTTAACAAAAAAAAATTATTATACTAAATTGGTGTTTCTCAACCTTGGTAAGTTTAAGACATGTGGACTTCAGCTCCCAGAATTCCCCAGCCATCATATGTTATACATGTCATAAATTTACCAAGGTTGAAAAACACTGAACTAAGCCCATGGGAACTAGAAACTGAAATAAAACAGGTTTGGGCAAAATTTTCTGTCTCCCCATTGTTTCCCTGTGGAAGTATAGTTTTGACTCTTTCTTGCCCTCCCCATAATTCCTTTCCCAAATACCTGCAGGATGGAGAAATTTTCAAGCACGCTATCCATCATTTGTTTTTCTGGTAGTGTTCGTAGTTTGCGAATAAAATTAATGAGGTACTTGCAAAGTGGTGAACGGTTTATATGGAAAACAAAGCGGCCATTTTCCCACTGAGCAGGCTCGGCTGTCTGGGGAATTGAGGGGATGAAATGAGACAGATAATAGAAAGTAAGACAGATTAGAGAAAAGCCCCAAACCTACAACCATACAATGCATACTTTCAGCAATCAGGTTTTTTAAAAAAGATTTTTTTATCCCACCATTGTTACTTTTATAAGTCATTCAAGCCAGTGAACATGTATAAAACTCTTCCGTCTTCCTATTTTCTCCACAACAACCCTTTGAAGTGGGTTGGGCTAAGAGGAGAGAGAGAGTAGTGCAAAGTCACCCAGCTGGTTTTCATTTCTAAGGCGGGACTAGAACTCATAGTCTCCTGATTGGTCCAAAATTATCCAGCTGGCTTTTATGCCTAATGCCAGACTAGAACTCACAATCTCCTGGTTTCCAGGAGAACATCTTAATCACTATTTCCAAAACGTGGACATTTTACAAAAGTAACATGAGATTCATTATTCTAAATGAAAAACAAAGGCAAATTTCATTGACAACAAGGATACTTTAAAAAAAAACCACCCACACTCACCCAGTTCTTTTGCCTGTTTCTCTTCAGCTCTTGCTAGCATCAAGATCTTTCCATACTGTCTTAGATCGCTGCAGCTTTACTTCCCCATGCCTAATTTTATAAAGCCCAAACCTTTTGCTTCTGTAGGCAAATATCTGATTTCCTGTTTTTTGGCAACTTCCAGATGTGTGGACTTCAACTCCCAGATTCTCCCAGCCAGCAAGGCTGACTAGAGTATTCTGGGAGTTGAGGCCTATACATGTAAAAGTTACTAAATTTGAGAAATACTGCACTAAACTCTGTAGATAAAATAGCACATCAACGGGAAAGATTTTAGCCCATCCAGTTCCTGTTATGGTAGTTTTCTGCTGACAAATAATCTGTAACATAAAGCTAATCCCAAACTTTTCTGCATTATACCTGGCGTTCAATATACCTGCATACAAGTAGTAGGCCTATTAAAGCCTAAAACTCTTAATAGTGGTTTTTCAACTCAAATTTTAAAAAACCATGCCTTTGATCTGATAGCCTTTCCTGCCCAAGTTCAAAATGAATCAATTCCTGGAGTTTTGTTTGCTTATGATGCAAAAAGTGATTATTATGGTATGTAGAAATAATATTCAATATGAGGTCCTGGTTTAATTATGACACCCCCTGACATGATGGATCTGAGTTCTTAAAGTCAGCAACCAAAACAGATTATGGTCTTGTTGACCGGGGGATTATGGGAATTCAACTCCAGTACAAATAAAGAGCAAGAGTATTAGACTACTTTAGACCAAGACAGCCACAGAATGAAAAGTAGCCATAGTTTGGTTCTCTTTATTGAGAATCCTGAATTTTCTCTTGCAGAAGGGCCAAGGAAACTAAAAGGAATTACAAGGAGATCCACAGAGGAGTTCCTAGCAACCTTTCTTCTATTGATTATTTCCCTCACCCAAGATGAATTTTGTGTGGTCCCTCCAGACTACAATTCTTGTGCTAACTCCAGAAGTCAGATTCCAAAAACAAAGTGCTACAGATTTTGCCTCTTGCCAATGAATAGAGAGAGGAAAAACCCCATATCTCTGTGTCTATTTGTTTTTATTTTATGTATTTGCAAATGAAAATTACAAATTCAAAGGAGCAAAATGAAAAAAACATTTAAAATGTGACAGGGATGATAGGCACACTTGTGCACTTATGCATACCCACTTAAGAATCTTTTAAATATGGGATGAACTCTCCAGAAGTTGATTAGAATTAAAACAGTGAAAGTTCATAGCTGAGACAACTGAATCGGATAAGATATGCCAGGCTTTGACCACACTGCCTATTTCCTTCAATCTTTCTGTTGGAAAATGTCAGTGTTGGCAGAGCAAGACAAGGCCAGATAATGCTGTGCACAAGCCAAATACAGTAAACAGACTTAGAACAAGGCAGCTCTTTAGCATAGTTGCATGCAACAACTTTGACATTCTATGACTGGGTTTCTTAGCTGTAAATTTATAACGCTCTGCTCCCCACATCCCACCCTGGCTCGTCCCAGCATGGTCACCCTCATTTCTGCCCTCAGTCTCAGAGCTCCACCCTCACCACACCCACCTCCAGTTTTTCCACCATCTGTTTACCAAACGAGCAGACTTTGGAGGAGCAACTGAGAGTCAGGGCCCGTGGGCCCTCGTATCGACTGCTCACCCCATAGAAGGCCCCTCCTATGCCTGCAGATTCTTGTCTTAGGAGGGAAAGGTTTAGGTCAGCCTAGAGCAAAAGATTGGAAAACAAAATCAGAACTGTTTTTAACAACTGATGCAAGGGTGGGACAAAGATTATTGAATGTTACTCTCTGGAGCAGTAGTCCCCAACCTTTGTTGGTCCAGCTTCTGGAAAGAGAGGGGAACTGCTCTGTGCGAGCAATACACCAGCACACGGGTGTGAAGCTCAACTTATGAATGGCAGGCTGGTGTGCACGCATGCGAATGCCCACCAGCCCATTGCTTGCACAAGTGGAGCTGCATGTGCACGCATGTGCTCCAGCCAGCCTCCTATCAGGCTGTGGCCCAATTCTGAATAGGCCACAGCCTGGTAGTGGGCTGAGGCCCAGGGGTTGGGGGCCCCTGCTCTAGAGTAATGCAATGACATTCCCAGTTATTAAGCAACATATCTATTTATTTCAGAAGCTTGGAACAACAAACAGCAGGGAAAAAGACATTGCAATGGCCATGCTTATCATTTTCCTAGAATACACAGGTAGTCCTCAACTTACAACCACAACTGGGATCAGAATTTCTGCTGTTAAGCAAAGAGGTTGTTCAGTGAGTTGTCCCCAACTTTGCAACCACTTTAGCCATCTTTTAAGTGAATCACTGCAGTTAATTGACTCACACGATGGTTAAGCAAATCCAGCTTCCCCCATTGACTTGTTTATGATCCCAGAATACTGCAGACATCATAAATGCCAGCTGCCAAGAGTTTGCCTTTTGATCACATGACCATGGGGACACTGCAACAGTCGTAAGGGTGAAAACTGGTCATAACTCACTTTTTTCAGTGCTGTTGTATCTATGGACAGGCACTAAACAATTTGTAAGTCAAAGGCTGCCTAGATAGAATTCTGTATTAAGGACAGCATATACCCCCAGAGTCCAAGAAAAGCATAAATAAAAGCATAAGCAAATATTATTTCTGATTTGTACTTAGCACAAGTGATAAATATTTTACACTACATTCACCAGTTGTTGATTTTAAAAATAATGATGTTATTTGAACATGAGGATGTGACTTGGAGCACTGTATTGTAGAAGAGAGAATACGTGGCTGGGCAAATTTTAACGCATCCAACAGTTCTAATATTTGTTCTTGATATAAAGCTGTCTAAGGTGACTTAATTATATCAGGATCAAAAACCAAATATCTCAGCAACAGTTTTATTGACAAAGCCTTCCTGTTTCTAATTTACTAGCTGTGAGGAATTAAGACTTGAGCATTGCCACTCTTCATAACTGAAAAGGATTTGTACTGAGGTCAAACACCAACCAACCAGATGTTGTGTAATTCATTAGCTTAGTTTTAAACTCAGTCTTGAGAATGACTTGATCGCTGCTGTTAACCAACAAGCAGATGTGTGCTGCAACAAGCCATTTTGAGAAGTGCGGGATGACTGTTTTCAGATATAGGTAGTCCCTGACTTACAACAGTTCATTTAGTCACCATCTAAACTTACAACGGCACTGGAAAAAAAAGTGACTTATGACTGTTTTTCACACTTGAACCATTCCCATCATGTGATCAAAATTCAGGCGCTCGGCAACTGATTCATATGTATGACCGTTGCAGTGTCCTGACAAGCAAAGTCAATGGGGAAGCCGGATTCCCTTAACAACTGTGTTCCTATTTGAACAACTGTAGTGACTCACTTAACAACTGTGGCAAGAAAGATGGTACAACAGGGCAAAAATCACTTAACAATGGTCATGCTTAGCAACAGGAATTTGGGGGCCAAATGTGGTCATAAGTCGAAAACTCCCTGAATAACCTAACTACCAGCTCTGAACATGTAAAACATGGATAAGCAACTTGCAAATGTTTGAACTACAACTCCTATAAGTCCTTGCCATTTACTATACTAATTAAAGCAGTTGGGGTTCAAAGTCCCAAGCATCTGGAATACATCAAGTTGGCTTGCCTGCCTCTGCTCTAAATCTATCTACAGACCTATACAATCTGGATACTAATACCAACAACACACACTGTTTCATGTGAATACTGATCATGAGTCCCAGGGGAGCCTGCTTGTATTCCTGATGATTTGGAAATTCAGTAAGCAAAAGAGTTCTTACCCAGAATTTGACCAAGAAGAAAGCTTGAGGAGGGCCTTGGTCATATAGATCTTGCAATCCACCTCCTTCCTCTGGAAACTTGTCATAGATTTGGCGTACATCCACCATCTCTAGCAGTGATCCACATATGGGTACTGGGCCAATGTAAACAAAACGATGCTGCCGCTTAAACCATGGAGAAGAGAAAGGGAAGCCAGAGCTATCAGATGAACATAGCCTGCCTCATCTCACAAACTGCTTTCTGGAGCGCTCAAGAACTTGCTGAGAGGTAGGAGCAGCATACCAGAAGTGTGTCCCCTCTGAATGCAAGGATGCACCAGAGGGAAAGGATGCCGTTTACTAGTGACAGCAAAGCATTACACTATTGCAAGGTTGGAACTCACTCAGCAATTTTCAGAATTTGCCTGCAATGGCATCACTCTGACATACTGACCTAAATAGGCATAGCCTTTCCAACTTTGAACCTCTCAGGCCAGCAGTTGCCAACCAGTGGGCCACGGTCCATTGGTGGGCTGTGAGAAAAATTTTGGTGGGCTGCAGAGAAATCTCACCCCCCGAGCACCCCGCCCCCCAAAGCAGGCTGCGCAGAAACAGGCTACCCACATGGCCCGCGGGAACCCTCCCCACCCATTCCTTACCCAGTAAACTTGCCTGCTAAATTTCTTATTTTCCTTTTTCCGACCATCATCTGTTCTGCTGTGCTGGGAGATTTAGATTAGCTAGGAAGCAGGAAATGGTTGGATTTCTTGCTTTCTAGCTAGTCTTTAGATCTTCGGCACTGCTTTTAAGTATAGCCGAACCTCCCTTAGGACTGAAGGTTTGCTTGCAAGCAAATTCAGCACAGATTCACGGCAAACAAATTTGAGAGACTGAGCTAGCCAATGGCAGATAGATCACTGAATGATTCTGTGAGCAACTCAAGCTGCTTGCTTTGCCTGATTTTGGGTAAAAGTTGCTCTTTTTTAAATAAAAAATTCAATTATTTATATAAATATTTATAATATTTACATACAAGCCATGCCCACCCAGTCACATGACCACCAAGCCACACCCACAAATTAGGTCACACCCACAGAACCAGTTAGTGGTCCCTGGGATCTATGATTATGAGTTTGGTGGTCCCCAAGGTCCAAAAGGTTGGTGACCCCTGCCTCAGACATCCTGGATTGAACTTTCAGTGTAATTAAGGAGCTATGAGATAGGTGGAGGTTTTTTTTCAGATAAACTTGCTAAATCTGCATAGTTTTCATACATGCAGAAGACAGAAGTTAACTGAAAAGTAGCATCTGCTCGTTGTATTTGTATTTGTATGAATACAGCCTTTTTTGTTTGAAATTCATGCTTCGAGACCTTAGTGCAAGGTTTCTCAATCTTGGCAGATTGAAGATATGTGGACTTCAACTCCCAGAACTCCCTAGCCAATGTGGAATTCTGGGAGTTGAAATTCACATGTCTCCAAGTTGCCAAGATAGAGAAAGACTGCCTTAGTGTGTTGGGTGAAACCAATCATTTATTATTTCGGTATTGGATAAGTCATGGTTAAGCAAATGATACTTCACATAGCACATAAACACATTTACCTACTATTACTTAGAGCTAAGCTAACATTTTCATCCCAAACTTACTGCTAAAATCAGATTTTAAACCATACAATTTTTCAGGTTTGACTTCCAGATGGTAATAGACCTGCTACCACCTTAAATTCGTAAATTCTATCTTTACTTCACCAGGTTGCTTTGCCTTTATTCCCAATTCATTCTAATTGATCATGATAATCTATCTTTCCTCAAAGAACTCTATCCTGTTTATCCTGACTTTCCTGGATTAAGTAAATAAATTTTTTTCTTATTATTCTCTTAATAACTGGAGCGTTAGGTAGGAAGACTGTTACTATCCCAAATAGGTTACTGAGCTTCACATACCGAATAGGACTAAGCATCACTTCTCTAGTTTTAATCTTATTATAGTCAGCTTTACCATTCCTCAGACTTTTCAAGCCAAGTTTACTCTAGCGGATGGAAACAGATGGACCATTGAAGGGGCACATGTGCACCAATTTTACCATATTTCGTTCGTTCTGCCATTCCATAAAAGCAGTAAACTCCACCAGTTGAAGTGTTTCTGTACCAATAAGATTCTTTTGCAAAGACGTAGTTGTGGTGGTCAGACAAGAACTCCTCCCTGTGGTGGTGAGATAACCTGACAAGCCAAGAGAAAAAGACTTGTGGCTAATGGAACATGGTTAGTAGTACAGTCCTCGCTTAATGATGGTAATTGGGACCAGCAACTCTATTGCCAAACAATACAGTCGTAAAGAGTGACATTATATGGCCGCATTGACTTATGATGGCAGTTATAGCAACCCGAGTTGCTATTGTTACGTGAATTCTGCATGGTCATAGCTTCTTGTGTTTTATGGGATCGCCACTGGCAATCTCTTGCTGGTTTCCTCATTGACTCTGCTTATTGGAAGCCAGCAAAGAAAGTCACAAATGGAGATCACATGATCACAGGAAGCTGCAACATCGTAATTGTGAGTCGGTTGCCAAGCATCTGAATTACAATCATGTCTATGTGGATGCTGCAACGACAGGGACCTGTTGTAAGTCCCCCTTCCTCAGTGCCATCGTATCTTGGAACAGTCGCTGAACGGATAGTTGTTCTATCAGGACTACCTGTAAGATAACAAATGGGTGATGGAAATAGGAATAATGCTTACCTGAGGCAACAAATGTTGTTGCAATTGATGTGATTGGATATGGGGCCTGGAGGATGGGCTTGATACTGAGGAAAGGGAGGACATATAAAAGTAGCAATTCAGCAGAAAATGTTCCAGAGATAGACATAAACATGCTGGTTGCAAAAAGATCAATCCAAAACTTACTCTGGAGTAGTTTCTTGGTCTGTATCCCCAGCCCAGAAATGGAAAAGGTCTGTGGACCCCTGAAACCAGAAAGAACATTTAAAATATTCCTACCATTTCTGTGTCATACAATATAAACCAAATTTATTTTGCAAATATGGAAATGTTCTTTAATTGACCCAAATAGTACCCATGATTAAACATAATGACAATTTTTTTAAAGGCATGTAAGTCTTATAGATTGCAAACACCAAGTTAGAAAAAACATTCTCTTACGTTAATAAAACAGAATACCTGCTATGACAGAGGCATAAATCATCAGAAAGCATGTGCTATTTTTTAAAAAATATTCTGATAAACTTGATGCCAGTTTATCAATTACAGATAGTCTTCAATTTATGACTATAATTGAGCCTGGAATTACAATCATACCAGTCATTAAGTAGGTCATCATGTGACCAAACCAATTTAGCACCTTTTTTGTGGTGATCATTAAATAAATAGTCATGGTTGTTAAGCAAACCCACTGTCTTCGCTGGGCATTTTGTGCAGGAAACCAGAAGCAAATGCCAATTTCCAACGACAACAACAAAATCTCATAAATCATGGTCATGTGACCCTGAGATGCTGCAAACAGCTGTAAATATGAGCTCCCCAAACTCCCAAAATACAGTCACATAATTGCAGTGGGAGACCGTATCAGAACTTCAACTAGATCATAAGTATCTATTTGGGGGTCTGTTGTAAGTCAAGGACTACATGCACAGGCAAATAACTAAAATCAAGGACTACCTACATATAATTGATCAGCAGAGAGTTCTTTCGCCAGGCAAATGTCCTACATAAGCAGGTCACTTTACAACGTGGTCTTCCCTCAGACAATGCTTTCAGAAAGAGCATGGAGAAAATTCCTGGAAAGTGCCCAAACCACAATTTCCCAAATTCTTTAGGAGAAATTAAGCCTTAAACTGCAGCAACCTACAACCTGAAATCTGCAGCCTGAGAACTCCACCCCCACCCCCAAAAGCTCCAGAGAAATCCCAGCTCACAGCCTTTCCCACCACATAATGCTTACAGTGTTGGTGCTGGATGGATACTGGAGTTCCAACAGGTCTAGTTCCTCCTCGAAGACAGTGACCGAAGCAAGCTGAGCAGAAGTCACGGCTGCCATATTCTGCAGTTCTTCGTCCTTTTCCATTTCATCCTGGGAAGCAGAGTGAGGCAGGAAAGAGAGATGCATTCTGTATTTTAGGAGATCATTTCTCTTGCTTTATGAACTCATATTGCCCTTTCCACATAGATTACTACTCTACCAAGGGAATCTTGCATGCATTGAAATTGCAGTGGGCTTCCTATGATAAGTGTCATTCTGAGATATCCAGAGATTTATTTGTCTTCCTTCCTTCCTTCCTTCCTTCCTTCCTTCCTTCCTTCCTTCCTTCCT